TCCCAGCCATGCACCTCTTCCAGCCTCCAGACATGCAAATAATGCACAGACACATGCAAGGCAAACATCCACATACATAAAAACATTACAATAAAGGGCAAAATTAAAGCAAAACCCAGTCATTTTCATGACTTTTCTTTTAAAGGCTGTATCATCTCTAACCCTGATGAAACGGGGCCCATTCCAAGGCCTGCCACTGAGTTGCTTCTCGTGCAGCATTTGAAGAACACATGAGTGAACAAATTGAAAACCAAAACTACAGAGAACTCTCATAACAATGGCAATCACAACTGAACATTCAACAAACAACCCTGCAGCCTTAACAGCTACACATGTTTATTTGTACTGAGCCCTGACAGTCTCATGAGGTGAGTTATTCACTCCTTTTTAACCAGTGGAGAACTTAGGCTAAGGACAGTGTTTTGCAACCAGATACATCTGAAGTGTGTGCCTGGGGTTGTCACACTGACAGAAAAGCTGAGAGCCTGGTTTAAATTTTCCTAGTGTCTTGCACAAACTCACTCTTTGAGACTTCAGAGAAAGCAGCCAAGTCCTTTTCCAGTGCCTATTCTACCACCTCTGTCTGGGGGTCCAGTTACTCATGTCACTACCTATGTGATTATGGTAACTCATGGAGTTTTACTCGCTCCTTTCTTTCACCCATGATACTGTTGCCTAACCAAACAGACATAGAACCACACTTTCTTCCTGTCAAACATCTTCTTAAATGACTTCTGGGGCAAAAACACCTCCAGTCTGAAATTCAGTTGGCTTACTCTGTGTGTGTGTGTGTGTGTGTGTGTGTGTGTGTGTGTGTGTGTGTGTGTGTGTGTGGTGTGCACAGATCCACATGTACGTACATGCATATAGCGTCTAGGTTAACAAGCTGTCCATCTTGTTTTTTCAAGTGTCTCTCACTGGAACATGAAGTTCACCCATTTTCCTAGACTGCCCAGCTACCTCCCTAGCACTTGAATGACAAGTACACACCACTATTCCTGGCTTATACATGGGTTTTTATGCTTGCAAGGCAAGCACATTACTAACAGAGCTATCTTCCCAGCCCTCTAATTAGTTTGTTTCTACTCTCAACTCAATTAGGATGGTTATTCCAATCAGGACTTTTCCCCAACATTCCTTTAATCTACTATCATTTCCTAAATCATGGTGATGCCCACAGTTTTCCCTGCTGGGAGCTCTTCTAATTCTTCAGACTGCCATTCTGCATCCTTATCTACCAATGCATAGAAATGCTTATCAAGGCCTGGAATTTAATCTAGGATCTGACTCTGTGGAGATAGTGAAGCTCTACACAAGTTGCTACAGCAATGTTTGACTAGTTCCAGCCCTTGGATTAGAGCGAGAAGCCTTTAGAAGGGTTATGTATTCACTTCTTACGAATTACTGGTCAAGACACATGGGAATCTGAAATCACAGAACTGCCTTTGACTAAATCATCCAACACAGCATCTGTATTTTAAAGAGAAAGACCAATTCCTTGCAGAAAAAGGACAAGAATTGGGCTGCAGAGATGGCTCACTGATTAAGAGCACTGGTTGCTCTACCAGAGGACACAGTTCAGTTCCCAGCACCCACATGGCAATTTACAATTGTCTGTAACTCCAGTTCCATGGGATCTGATACCCTCACACAGACATACATACAGGCAAAAACACCAATGCTCATAAGAAATAAGAATAATAAATTGTTTTTTTAAGATGTTATAAAAGAACAAAAAGGCAAGAACTAGAGTTCAGGCCACACAGTCTACAATCCAATATTTGTGGCCTTGTTATGCCTTGTAAATCGAGCTTCCAGATACAGAGACCATTCTGTAACCTTGTATGCAACACTGCATTGCAAGTGAAGACTTCGCTTCATGGAAACAGAATGCCCAGTACCCTGAACTTTGCACAAATCAAGAGCATAAGAAAGGAGTTTATCTGATAGGTTCCTCTCTTACTGCACATTTCAGTAAATTTGAAGTTCTAGTTTTCCTTAGTCCTTTCTAAATAGTAACAAGAAGATGGCCTAATTTTAGTCCCAGCCTTGTTTATAGATAAAATTTTACATTAAAATATGAGCAAGGCCATGCTAACTTAAGATGAAGCAATGCACAATTTCACTTAGGACCCCGAGTCTAAAAAAGACAACAGCACTATGAGTTCAAATACCTCTATTCTTTAGTATGGCCTCTCTTGCCAACATTGATATTTAGATTGCTCATAAAAATCAAATCTTATTTATTTCCCTGTGGCAAATAATGAAAAATAAATCATATCACTATTATATGACTACCTGGTACATAAAACTGTGTTTCCTGTTTCTTATCAGTAAACACATGGCAATTTCATGTCCTTTACAGAGACCAAGAAGGCTGATGAAACAAAATGGCATCATCCATCATGTATTGTACATTAATACAATAAATAGATTACATATTTTGCCTCAATATTGGTTAGCTATTCATTAAGGATTCAATTTTCACTACCCTTAAATTTCAACATTAGATATCAGATATAATTTACTCAATCAGTCTTTTGGATGTGTTTTGCTTTCAAACTCCATGTAAGCCAGTCAACTCAGGCTATACTGCTACCATTTATGAAGATACCCCATTAATAAAGAGGCTATGTTTGCATTTGGAATTCCAAAGCCCAATCCCACTTAAGAAATCATGTATTATTTTGCTATATAATTAAGCAAATGACATTTTATTTAGAAGTCTTCTTCTTCCCTAAAACGCCTTTTTTGGGAAAACATTCTAGACAATAAAACTCTACAATGAGAATGCACACAAGGACTAGAAGAAACCAGTTAGAAAGAGGAAACCAGAACAAACATGATAATAGGGCAGGCCTTCAACACATATGAAAGTTAAACCAATATGGAGTTCTAAAATTAAAATGCATATACTTAGATATCTGTCTAGTTTCACAAGAAATTATGAAAAAGACCTAATACGCTTGTTAAACTTTTTAAAGGACTCTGTGGTTTTCTATTAGAACTCAGTCACAATAGACAAAGCTTTAGGCTCATCCAGTACTTTGCCCTCACAGGAGGAATGACTAGGGGTGGGGAGGGATGGGGAGAGACTGCTGCTGAGCAAGGCGATTTGCCCATCTAGAATGTGGGGGCAAAGCTCTAATGGGGGAAGCAGAAGAGACTGGTCAACAGGTCTCAGGGTTTCATTCTAAACACACCAGCTTCTAGAAGAAAGTGACAGTGCTGCTGGAATCGGAAGTTGGCTTCCACTCACTGTTTAACCATAAAAATATATGTAAGCCCAAATGCCCATGTGGGTGATCATTTTGGACACCTGATCCTTTGAACTAGCAATTACCCCAGACCTGACAAGTTAATTGTTCTGTTGGGTCCACTTGCTAATTATGGAAATTAGAGTTTAAGGTGTTTGTAAGACAAATAGATATAACTGATTTAGAGTCAGTTTTGCTGGTAGCACATATAATTAAATATCAAAAGGCTGTTAAAAACTTACATAATAAAACTGGTGAGGCCAAAGAAAACAGAAAGAAAAAAAAAGAACCTAAAAATAAATGATTAAATTCATTATTTTTCCTTCCGTCACATATAGCAGAATTCTTTTGTTGAGGGAAAAAATGTTGCAGTTCCAAACAGTCCTTCTAGAACAATGCCCTGTGGCCCTGAAACCGAATTTCCCTGAACACTGAGAAAATTAACCATTCCTATCTTTACAAAACTAAAATAGAACATATTTGTAAAAATAAAAACATCTATGCAATTGAAGTCAACAGTTTAGCTGTCTGGCCACACTACAGAAAGCACCAACTTCGGGCTTTACCATTAGACAGGCCTGACCGCTGCCTGTGCTCAAGTGCACTTCCCTGAAAAGTCATGCTTGCAAGACAACATCCTCAGAGTTCAACGTGAGGATCATTGTGATGTCATAAAGGACACCTCTGAAATGTTTTAAAAGATCCTAAATTCCTGATTCATGTCTAAATCAAATGCTGGAAAACCTGAAATGTAAATAGAACAGGCCCAGCCCCTCCCACTATCCCCTCCCTTTTCTGTCAACAACAACCGTTCAGTGAGATCACTGGGTGGCTTGTAGGTTTATTACCAGCATGGCATCTCAAAGATGGGCTAGTCAACTATGTTTAAATGTCGGAGTGAAAGCAATCCCACATTTTATTTGAAGTTAAATAGTATAAAAGAGGAAGTAAAAAAGTCTTCATTGTTCAGACCAGAAAGATGTTTTTGAAAAATTCTTGTAAAGAATCCGAAAAAAAATCCCTCTGTCAAACCTATATAATTCACATATAACCAGAAAAAAAATTCTACATGCTAATGTACCTAGCAGCTTTGACTACACATAACATATACAACAAAAGGCAAAGTCTGTCACCACAGTGCATTTATATCTATGCATTTTACAAAACAATGTCCTAAAAATCTCTAGAAATAGTAGCCCTTCTTATTTATAGAAAACTAATTTGACAATTTGTCATCAGTGAATGTTTTTATCCGGGTGGACATGTAGAAAAGAAATAAAATTCAAGCCCAGCTTCTAATTCATGAGAGTGAGGGACAGTCCAGTTCAGCAGCCACTATACACAACATCTGACAAGCAGCTGACACCGCACTGTTCTCATCATACTTAGCAGCCCCGACTTTATCTTTAAGCACTGGGCATTAATCCCCTAATACATGTATTCCCCTCAGGATCTTGGAGCCATTACAAACAATTAGTTACTACAACAAACTTTCGACTGATGTTTTGAGTCCTGTTTAGGAACTCCCGAGAGCCCAGAGCCGTGCTCACAGCAGCATACCACCTATAAAATAGCTGGACCGAGGGGAAGCCAGTACCACATGAGTTCTTACAATACAGACCCAAAGAGGAAAAGCAGGATTAATGAACAACACACAAGGACTGGGGATGAGAAAACAAACAAACAAAAATAATTCTTTTCGTTCTTCCCTTTTTGTCTTTTCTTCTATTAAAGAAAGGATACAGCCTTAAAGCACCAGTCTGAGTTCCTACTGCCAGGATCTTCTGTACGGGATCAAAGGCCAGGGCTGAGGGCTGATAGGGGAATCCATGGCGAACAGTCTGGGGATGGGCAGTGACATCACAGGAACCAAGGCAGCAGGCAAAATCCGAAAACAGAACAGCCCACAGGGGCGTTAGACTTGGAACCAACTACTCTTGACACAAAGCACACACCACAGGAACTTACCACTTTAAGGGGGAGATGAGGGTTGGGAGGTGGACTCTAGACTAAGGATCGCAGGGCTAGAAGCACAAAGCTACTTATTTAAGCCCCTGCTTTGCTACAAAGCTAGTAACTCCACAGAGGGCATTTCCCAGTGAATAGCTGGTAGTATTCCTTTGGACGACACGTTGCTCGAGTTTGTGGTGGTTCAAAATTCAGTAAAAATCTTTGCAAAAGGTGATTCGTGTTGCATCTCAAGAGAAATCATACAAATCAAAGCTCTATTTGAATGCTAAAGGGGGGATTTCTAAGGAAAAGTTGTCAGGAAACTAACTGAAGGATTTAGTCAAAGAAGCATCAACCTCAGGATCAACATTTGCAGCTCTAACGATGGGAATGGGTGCAAAAAATAATCTTACAATTTTCTACCGAAGCTGGAATAAGTTTAGGCCATAAAACAAAAATCGTAGGCAGGCTTGTAAGCCCCCGACACAGGAAGGACCGAATAGCTATCTGTGAGGCAGGCAGGTCTCCATACAGAGGCTCGTCTGCTTTTCTCATTGAGCAGCCGGGGAATTAATCCGCTGCATCATTCTTTCTGAATTACAGGACCCAGTGGCAATCATCGTGCCATTCACAGACCAATAAAATAAAATAAAATAAACCTCTGCACTAACTTTTTAACCAAAGAAGCTGAAAAATCGGGTGACTTCAGGTGGTGAGCCACTCGCCCGCATTCTAAAAAGTGATGCGCAAAAAAGATCTGGTTGAACAGGTTTGCCTTGCCCACAAACGACGTTCATCACACGGGGCTGGAAAATTTCGACGTCAGTGGAAGATAATAAAATATGCGCGAATATAAAAGTCTTTCCAGACCATTGTTACCAGTACCTGGACGGGAATTAAAGACAAGGGGTATGCTTAGGGTGCCTGGAAATGATTGCCTTTCTTTCTTTCTTTTTTTTTTTTTTAATGAAAAGGGAAAGACATCGACTAAAAGAAGTAGGGGATCTCAGCCCCCAGATCCCCCATCAAGGCACGTCTGTCAAGGGCAGGGGGGCGCCTTCCTAGAGCTCTGAGCTCTGTTGGCGCGCTCTGCCCTCGCGCTCCCAGGTACTGCCCAGCGGCCCCCTCAAACGACCCCAATCTTGCCCCAGACAGCTCGGCGGGGCTGCGTGCTCCCTTCACCTTGCAGAGTTGGAAGTGCTCGGACTGGAGCGTCTCCTGGATCTCGGGCTCCCGGTTCCCAGGCGGGTGCTGCTGCTGTTGCTGCTGTTGCGAGGCCGAGGACGAGCCTGCGGTCAGGCCGTCCAGCACCTTCCTGATGTTGAATTTCCTCATGGTCTCGCCGCCCAGGGGTCCGTCCGTCTGTCTGTCTCCTCGAGGCCCCCGGGGCAGCGGTGGCACCGGGTGGGCACGAGTCCGAGCCGCTGAAGCCCAGCGGCGGCTTCGAGCGCGGAGCGCGGAGGAGCAGAGGAGAGCAGGAGATAATCCCAACAGGAAGGGCTGCGACGACGGGCGCGCGGCGGCGAGTCCTCCTCTTCCTCCGAGGCCGCCGCGGCTGCAGTGGCGCGGGACGCCGCCTCCTCACCTGGTCGCGGCCGGGCTCCCGCCGTCCCGCGCCGCTGCCGCTGCCGCTGCCGCCGCCGCATCCATGGCCCCGCAGCCCCGCAGTCCCTCGGCGCGTCCCGGGCTCGGCCTCCGCTCAGCGCAGCCGCCCGGCCAGCATGGCCGGAGCACCCGGAGCCGCTCCCGGCGCCTCCTGCCGCTCTCTCCCCGGCCACCCGGACGCTCGCTGTCACCTTCCGGGAGGCTCGGTCCCCGGCCCCAAACGCCCGGCGGAGCAGGCGGCGAGCCGCGGTTCCAGCGCCGGCCGCGGCGGTGGCGGCAGCTGGGCCTCCGCGGAGCGGACTGCCCGGTGCGCATGCGCGCCGCCGCCCCCGCCCCCGGCCGGCGGCTTAAATCATCCTCCGCCGAGGGCCGGGGCCGCAGCTGGCGGACCAGCGGGCTCCACTGCCCCGCACCTTCAACCCTGTCACTCAGGCGCCCCTCTGTGTGCTTTCGGGTTGCTTTGTATCGGGGTCCCCAATGGAGCGTCCAGTTGACGATTAGGTCAGTGGCAAGATGACAGCTAGGAGACACCCAAAGGGAGAGGAGCCCAGCCTCCTTCATGAAGGTGTTTGGGAGGTAAAATGAGGGTGGGCGGGTGGCGGCTAGACCGGGATCGGTCCTCCTCAGGGGAAGAACTCCCCAACGCCCCGACCTTGGTCACCCACCACCCCGAATCCAGTGGGCAGGCAGGCAGCCAGCACTCCCCGCCACTGCTTGATACAGAGCCCTGCCAGTTTCATTAGCCAATCGAAAACCCCCTGGAGCTTCTCCGATCATCAGACCCGAGAGGGAGGTGAATTTTTTGCACGCATCTGCCCGCCAATGTTCCTGCGTGTCTCCCCGGGTGGTTCAAGTTTGCAGCGGTGAAGAGAAATTGGTGCTGGGGACGCAGGGAGGAATCCTTCTGGCCAGTGCTTTCTACAAGCAAAGGTGATGGCGGTGGATAATCAGAAGGGAAGAAATGCGGGAAGAGCTTTCATGTGGTTAGGGGTCGCAGCCAGAGGCCAACCTCAGGCTTACTAAGACCCCCGCCACGACCAAGAAAAAAAAAAAAAAAGAACAAAAACACAAATGCAATCCGGGTTTGTTAGTTCCGCACCAAAATCAGAAGCTCCTCCTTTTGCGTTGTGATTGGCTGTTTTCTCCTGTTCCTGACAGTCTCCTCACCGTATTGGCCTATGAGCAGATAGAACCTGCCTTCAAGAACAGTCAGCAAACCAATTAGGCTTGGGGCTCAGGGCATTTCGGGAAGTGTAGTTCTCTAGAGTTCTGTGATCCAAGACTATGCCTTCCACTTGGAACTTCTAAAACTTTGCTTTGTGGTTTCATACTTGTTGAAGTAGGCAGTTAACTCACCGAAGGGAGAGGAAGGAATAAAGCAAATTCGAGGAATTTCCTGAGCTATTTCTGAGTGGCTCTAAACTTTTTGGGTTTTGTTTGTTGTATTTCTTTTAGTTCTCTGAAACACATTTCGCTCAGTTTGATACATTATACTGGGTACAAAGGGTTTTAAAACTCAGTGTTTGTCTTCCACAAATTTCCTGCTGTGTCAAGGGCACGACCTCATATAACCAAATGTAATGTCGTATGAGTTCAGTGGTGCCGTGCTGAAGAGAGACACTGAATTAGCCAGGAAAGGCCTGGAAATGGGGACAACCATCTTACGTTCCGAACTAGCAGACACTGATCCAGAGACTCAGGGATAGAAGAACGTTCCGAGGGTGTCTAGGGAGGCTTTTAAAAACTGACCTACCTCAATAACTTTCTTAAAATCCAAACGACTCCACAGAGCATTCTACAGTCCAGGTAAGCCAAACCCCTAAATCTTATGCAATGTTGTCCCACCTAGGTTTAGAATAAATTTGTTGAGAAAAATCATCATCACCGAATTACCAGACTCTAGTGAGACCACAGTTTTCTGTGCAGAGGTCTTGTGATGCAGTAGATTTCTGGCTTCAATATGCCTGACAAGATCTGAAATCCAGCCCTTGGCCATCAGTGCAAAGTTGGACAAATGTATTTATTTTCATCAGCAACAAATCCATCATGTGAGATGCTTCATGTGTAGAAATGAGGTCAGTCGCCTAAATTAAATGGGAGGAGTAGAAAGAACAAAAATGTTAGTGCTACGTTACTTAGCCCTCTGTTGTTCTTCAAAACTGCTAATTTCTTGGTCCAGCAGGATATCTGAGATGAAGAAGAACTTTAAGAGGTCACCAGGTTAGGTCAGGCCCCTATTTTTGCTGTAGAGTTATTGCTTTGATTGCTGTACCTTAGCAATCGCATCGGATTCTGAATTCACCCTGCTGTTCCCACAGCATCAGTCCAGAAGAGCCCTGGAATTGAAGATGAATGTAAACGGTTTTATGACATTACAGGACAGCAGAACATATCAAGAAATCCATTTAGTAAAACAAAAAAAATACTAATACCTTAAATAGTCACTATTATAATAGCAAAGAGAAAATGATGTGTCCTCAAACTCTATTGTAAGATTTTTTTCTCTCTCTCTTTTGTTTTCTTTAGGGGATCTGCCACCCAGCTCCCAAATAGATCAAGCACACACTGAGGCTTATTATTACTTACGAATGCTCAGCCTTAGCGTGTCTTGTCTCTAGCCAGTTTTTCTTAATGTTAATTATCCCATCTACCGTTTTCTTCTTGGCTTTTCCTGTTTTCTTACTTCTGTAAACCTTACTCTTATTCGGTGGGTTGCTGGGTTGCTGGGTGGCTGGGTGGCTGGGTTGCTGGGTTGCTGGGTTGCTGGGTTGCTGGGTTGCTGGGTGGCTGGGTGGCTGGGTGGCTGGGTGGCTGGGTTGCTGGGTGGCTGGGTGGCTGGGTGGCTGGGTGGCCCCAACACCCTCCTGTCCTTGTTCTCTTGTTCCTCCCCTCCCCCCACCAAGGTTCTCCTTCTATTTATCCTCTCTGCCTGCCAGCCTCGCCTGTCCTTGCACCTGCCTTGCTATTGGCCACTCAGCTCTTTATTAGAACACTAGGTGTTTTAGACACGCAAAGAATCACAGCTGCATTGAATTAAAAGAAATGCAGCCTAAACAAAAGTCACACACCTTAAAATAATATCTACCGCAAAACTCCTTTTATTTCTTTTTACATTACATTTATCTTCCCGGTGTGTGTGTATTTGGGGTGGGGTGGTTGCCTACAAACACAGAACACTGACAGAGAGTAGTCAGAAGACAACCTTCTGGCTTGGTTCACTCTTCCATCTTGTGGGTCTGGGGATGGGATTGACGTGGAAGCACACACCTTCAGTCACTGCACCATCTTGCCAGCCCCTACTGGTACTCCTTATAAACCAGAATGCACTGGGCCATGGGCTATATGTATAGCAAACCACTGCCTACTTCTCAATAGATGGATTGCATTTAGTCCAGTCTGGGTGACACTAAGCAATACTTCACAAAGTGAAAAGAAGTCTGACACACAAGAAAGACAGTCCACTACATTATGAGACTTGGAGTACTGAAATTCAGAAAGGTATAAATCTCTGAACCTGCCAGTCTTCATTATCAGATTTAACAGTCACCTGATTAATAAGATTATGTCCAAGCCGGGCGGTGGTGGCGCACGCCTTTAATCCCAGCACAGAGGCAGGCGGATCTCTGTGAGTTCGAGGCCAGGCTGGACCGACAGCCTCCAAAACAATACAGAGAAACCCTGTCTCATAAAAACCAAAAAAAAAAAATTATTATGTCCAGGGGTAGTTGAATGAAGGCTACATGCAGAGGCAGCTTGATGTTGATTGAGATAACCTGTAAGTACTTTTTTTTTTTAGTTTTTTATTTATTGACAGACTTTCTGGAAAGTGAATGAAATCTACATCAATGACTAGCATACATTTTTATTGACTTAACTTCAGTTTATGAAGTCCCAAAGGTTTATAAGAATGACAGTAACTGATTCACTGTGTGATTTAACAAAGCATTGAATTCAAATTATGTGCCAGTTGCAGCATAGATGTTTATTAGTTCAGGTTCTTTTGGGGAAAGGGTTTTCTAGATCCTGTTGAAACGGTAAGCCTGGGTGACTGACTTTAGTCAGGGAAGACATTTCCCTGCTCACAGAATCAGAAGTGGGAATCTGAAATTAACCAAGCCCATGAATAAGAAATCTGGGAATCTGCAATTGAGTTATGAAGCTCCCGGGTGAGCTGAACTCTGGAGTCATATAGAGGTAAGGTTTGGTGTTTATTTTGTTTCATGAATACTGAAGCTTTGCATGGCTGGGACACATGAGTCTGAAGGGCAGCATCTATCACACCATTGAGTCCAGGCAGGTAGAAAATAGGATAGTCATTCCCAACATGCTACTCAATGCCATTCCCAGCTGCTTCCTTATACAATCATCTACTATATATTCCTTCCTCTTCTGGTGTAAATCAGCTAAATGCATTTCTCCTTTTACAATCATATATTTTAACTGAAATTTAGACTTCACCTGCCTCTGTAAAGAAAAGAATGCAGAGCTATGGAGCCATCTTCCACTGGCCATTTGTACATTCTCCCATCAATTCTTCCTACAGTCCAAAGACTACTGCAGTCCTCTGGGTTGGTAACTTGGACCAGAAGGGTTAAAAGCAATACCAATGCGAATTGTCAGTCAGATTCTGAATTGCATTTTAATAGTGGTACTAGGGGTGTTTGCTGATGGCATTGGGAGAGAGAAAGAAAAGGGACAAGACTCACATCTCAGATTTAGCCTGAGGTCTGCAAAAGTTGACTGTGACTTCATTTCTACAGTTATGATTCATGGGTAGGTAATTTCCTGTCACCATGTGTACCTTAATGGACTCCACAAGCACAGTCTACTAAATGCACAAGCCTTGCCAGAGAGAAACAAGCATGATCTACTACATTGTGATCTTTGTTCG